TCCTGGCATCGCTACTAGGAGAGAAGACGCTACTAGGGGCTCCTGGCCTCGCTACTAGGAGCAAGGACGAGCACGCTACTAGAAGCTCCTGGCCTCGCTACTAGGAGCAAGGACGCTACTAGGGGCTCCTGGCCTCCCTACTAGGAGCAAGGACGCTACTAGAGGCTCCTGGCATCGCTACTAGGAGCAAGGACGCTACTAGAGGCTCCTGGCATCGCTACTAGGAGCAAGGACGCTACTAGGGGCTCCTGGCATCGCTACTAGGAGCAAGGACGCTACTAGAGGCTCCTGGCATCGCTACTAGGAGCCAGGACGCTACTAGGGGCTCCTGGCATCGCTAGGACGCTACTAGGAGCTTTTTGCAAAGCAGTTGCTGTGAGCAAATCCCACTAGCACGCTGCGCCACGGCTAAGTCCCGGCAAAGTCATTACATTTATGGCACACCATGTTTCAGGAAACATCCCCACTTTTTCCCGAATGCGTAGCGAAGGGTTCTCGTTTAACTCTTTGGGGGTCTGGGGGTAGAGCCTTGTTCGCGACCCGTTGTTTCTATGTTCGCAACCGTCCGCAACCGTTCGCAACCGTTCGCAACCGTCCGCAACCGTTCGCGGTAGAGCGCTAAGGCGCTGCCATTGGAGGAAGCTTTTGCAAGTGACTATGCATGGATGTGTCACGTGTTAGTTTGCGACCCGAGTCCATTGTGATTTGCGTGAAAAGGACATGTCGCGCAAGAAGCGTGATGCATTTCGCTGCACAGGCGCAGCGTTTTGTGAGATCCGCAGATTGCTGCGCAGTTCCATTGGGATTAGCGTTTGGAGAGTCGTGTTTTTGGGGTGTTGGATGTGGCCGTGCCATTGGGAAATGCCGATTTTGGATTCTGGGCGTGTGCTCAGAACGGGTCGAAATCATTCCAAACGTGTGGTGTGGTGCAAATTTTGTTGAAGCTCACATGAGATGACATTGTTACTTTTCGTGGCAGGCGCAGGACTTTGTGCGGGTTTCGAGGTGTGGAAGTGGGATTTTCATGGCAGGCGCAGGGAATCGTGAGGTTGCGATGTGTGATGGAGGTGACATTTCGTGACAGGCGCAGTACTTTGTGCGCGTTAGACGTGTGGACGCGGAAAGATTCGTGGCCGGTGCAGGGAATCGGGAGGTTGTGAGTTGTGGTAGAGGTGAATGTCGCTGTCACATTGGGATTGGCGTTTGAGCGGGTGTCGTTTGGAGGGACTGGAATCGCGAAACTGCTTGGCGGGGTTGCATGATGTGTGTGCTCTGGTGGGTGCTGCCGCTGGACTTTTGGCGGACGTCTCATACGAAATCCTCGTTTGGCAGACTTTGACATGTGAGTTTTGGAGGAAGTCTCGTACGAAACGCTCGTTTTTGAGACTTGACGCGTGACTTTTGGAGGAAGTCTCGTACGAAACGCTCGTCTTGCAGCCTCGCAGCGTGACTTTTGGATAAAGTCTCGTACGAAGAGTGTGCCCTACAGGAGTGTCCCACAAGAGTGTCCTACAAGAGTGTCCCACAAGAGTGTCCTACAAGAGTATCCCACAAGAGTGTCCCGCAAGAGTGTCCCACAAGAGTACAAGAGTGTCCCACAAGAGTGTCCCGTATGAGTGTCCCACAAGAGTGTCCCGCAAGTGTGTCCCACAAGAGTGTCCGACAAGAGTGTCCCATAAGAGTGACCCACAAGAGTGTCCTACAAGAGTCTGCAACAAGAGTGTCCCGTAAGAGTGTCTCACAAGAGTGTCCCACAAGAGCGTCCTACAAGAGTGTCCCACAAGAGTGTCCCACAAGAGTGTCCCACAAGAGT